TCAGGGAAGCTGAGCTGGCAGGGTCGGAGCTGTTTGGAAACATGATGACTGTAAGTGCTTGGGCAAAATTTTAAATAAATACTTTGCTATTGAAACAAATATTGAGAGTTTAATACTACTTTAAGATCAGTAAAAGAACAAAATGTGTAATAGAGGTGATCCTAGCAGAGGGTCACAGCATTGGACTTCATAAGTTGTGTGCCTACAGGCTCCTCGATTAGAAATTCCGCATTGCCTAGAGCTTATTTCCTGAACTCAGCAACAAATATCCGGAGGTGGTTAGAAGAAGGAGATAAAATGGGAAAACTGATCATATTTGGCACATTGTGAGGCTTGCATTTGACCCACCTAACCCTAATGCCCCAGGCACTGGTCCATGGCTACCATTATAAATACAGCACTTCTTCACACGATCAAAGATGAGCAGACGTTCACAGGGAGACATTGACCTGTCCATGGCCACCTGAAGACAAAGAAAAAACCATCAAAGGTGAGCTTTGGGTTGCCACCTGTCCAGGATTCACCTGGACACTCCAGTTTTAGAGTCCTGTGTCCGGGTCTCAGGCCATCTGATAGCCGGACACATGACACTAAGTGCCGATACCGGCACTTTACATTTTCTGCCTGAGGCTGCCTGAGGTCCCCAGCAAGCGCTCTCACTAAGATCTTATGTAAACATAAAGTTGGATTCACCCGAAATCTGCACCAGGTCCTTGGGTGGCGGATGAGGAGTAAAGCTGCCATTACTGTTCACACTAAATGTCGACTTGTGTATGAGCCTTGTCTTTAATCTGGGGGCGTCTGCACTTGTGTGGGATATTTGTATGGAGTCGTGTGAACTGTGAGTAATGAGCTGATGTCAGCCCCTCTGTGGGAACCGCTTTGTGAAGTGTAGCAATGCATGTGGATACATAGAACGGACTGCCCAGTGAGCGGCTGCCAATCTAGGTTGTGATGATGAAACAGATGTGTACATACAGTACGTGCCCTTTTGATTAAATTCAGAAAGAAGAAGAAAGGACTTTCTGGGTATGGACTTAAAGTGACATTAAAGTCAAAAGTTTTTTCCCCTCCCCCCCATGTTAAAGGATAATTAAAGCCTCAGGTGTTTTTGCATACATCTATTGCTAGATCTATGCAAAAAGTGTAAGAAAAGGAAAAAAAACTCTTTGAAAAGGGTTAACACTTACCCGTGTCTCCCCGTGCGCTCCCATCCGAAAATGTGAAAAATCTCGGGCGGCCGCAAAGCATCTTGGGGCGTGCGCATGCGCAGATAACATTTTTGGCAGGGACGCGAGGAGAGACACAAGGTAAGTCTATAGACGCGTGCACCCGCATGCAGGCATCTTGGGACAGGAAGTGCTAGCATGTCCAGAGGAGTCAGCTCTGTATCGGAGACCCGCCGCAGCGCTGGAGGGATAGATAAAAAGGACAAGAAGAAGAAGATCGAATTAAGAAACATCATTAAGGTAAGTGCTTTAATTAACATTGGGGGGAGGGCAAAATATTTTTGACTTTAATGTCACTTTAATGTTAGCACTTACCTTAAATAATGTCTCTTATTCCAATCTTCTTCTTCTTCCCTGATGTTTTCATCTGTCCCTCCAGCGGTGCGGCGGCTCTCCGATCCAGCGCTGACTCCTCTCGGCACTTCCGATCCAGCGGTGTCTGCATGCGGGTGCACGCGTCCATAGACTTACCTTGCGTCCCTGCAGTCTCCCGGCCAAGAATCCGAACTGCGCATGCGCCCGCCCCAAGATCCTTTGCGGCCGCACGAGCAGTTCCTGATTCTCGGCGCGGGAGCGCGCAGCGATAACGGGGTAAGTTTAAACCGCTGATAAAGCGTTTAAAAAAAAATAACTTTTTGCCTATATCTACTGCTTGCTAGCAGTAGATATATGCAAAAAAACCGGAGGGTTTAGAACCCCTTTAATTGGGTCTGTATTTTTACTTGCCGTCAATGCATAGGAAGTTGCAACTTGGGTTAATATTCACAATCTGTTCAGTACCGGAGCAATCCTTCATTCAATTGATGCATTTCTATTTACAATAGAATGGTGTGACAGTGTGTGTGGTTAGTGTGTGTGTATGGGTGTGTGTTTTATATTTAACAAGTGAAGACGTGCCCTGCACACCATGCAGCCATAGAGACCTGAAGTAATGGTGGTGCTTGTAGTGATGTTCACAGATGGCGGCGTGCGTATATAGAGTCAGCAGCAATGAGGATCACCAGTGCTCAAATAAATTCAAATTTTTTTATTGAAGAAGCATGTCACCTGTTGTCTAGCCAATGTTTCGGAACCACGCAGGGTCCCTTCATCAGGGCAGACATAGTGACAGCAGAGCAAACATCCCAACCGTCCCGGACGCTCCGGGAGTCTCCTGCTATTAGATAGGCAGGCGGGAGAGAAACATATTCTCCCTGAAAGGTTTACTCTGCCTTATCTAGCAGAGTAAACCTTTCTCTGTTCTGTTTTGTTTTGTTTTTTTCTTGACATTGGGGGCGCTAGCCACCATCAGTGAGAAAAAAAAAACAAAACGGCATAGGAACGAATAGCTAGATTGTTCGCTATTGCAAATTAAAATAGCCAATAGCAGACTAGCTATTGCACCCGCCCACTGCTGCTGTCAATTAGCAGAGTTGGACCTGAAGTTCTCCTGATGGTCCTCCTCCTGCTGATTGACCGCAGCAGAGGGTGGGTGCAATAGCCAGCTTGCTATTGGCTATTGCAAATTGAAACAGCCAATAGCAATCTCGCAATTCATTCCTATGCTGGGTTTTTTTTTTATTCTGGGGAAGGGGGGGGGCAGAGTGCACCTCCCTGAAATGAAAAGGGCCCCTCCCTGAAATGAAATTACTTTTTTTCAGGTTGGGATCCCTGACAGAGTGAACTAACAGTACTCGTATACTGTATATATATATATATACACCCCAAACATATTACATAATGCTAAGAACCTCCCCAGACACCATGAGGACGTCACAGCCCACCAGAATTTCAAAAAGAAGTTAAGAATTGCCACAAGCACCCGTGGTCTGAAATATATCTGCTTTTCCCATTTTGTCCTTTGCAAAATGGTACTCCTTTTAGTTTGGTATATGTGTGTTACTGACTGAGGTAGTTGTGGTGGGGTATTCCAATAGAAGCACAAATGGGATTCGCAGGTATTTGCTTTTTTTTAATTATCAGAGCGCGCATATTCCACCTGAGAGTCCACATAGCCCACCCGAGAGCCCGCATAGCCCAACCCAGACACTGCATAGCCCACCTGAGACACCGCATAGCACAGCGGTCGCCAACCTTTCGGACCTCATGGACTTGGAATCCCGCGGACCATTAATATGAATTTGTTAAAAGTATACTATACATATATTCTCATATTTTTTGTTTCCTCATATATAAATATATTCTCGTGTGTGTGTGTATATAATTTGTGCAGATCTGAAAGTAGAAGTCTAGGAAATGGCCTGGTGGGCTGGATTCGGCCCCTGGGCCTTGAGTTTGACGCATGTGCTTTAAAGAAAAGGTGTCAACCCTATAGGTGAGCTTGGTGGAGACGATAAAGAATCCTGTCTGTCAGATTGCTTCCAGAAATCTGATAGAAGTAGCAGCAAGCCTATTTACATACCGAGCAATGATTAATGTCTGACCTTACCACTATCACTAAGCAGATGACTCTTTGTCCAGCACAGTATTGGATTTGGAAGATCTGGGGGTTGTTTGGTTGATGGAGATAGAACAATGTGAGATGTAAATGAGCTGATTATTTCAGGTATACTAGATTCCTGAATACAAAGAACACATACAGACAGAGCAGACGGACTACACCGTAATCACAAGACGCCATTAGAGTGCAAGAAGATATTATGTCTGGAATGACTGGAGAGACAAGAGCGCTATTTACATATAGAATAATGACATTGGCAAAGTTTTGAAGGAACCTTTGGTCATGAAGACCCATGGCTTATGAGATACCTTTCTATACTATTTCATGAAAAGGGCAAAGCACCCAGAAGGTCTCTTTTTCAGGTATAAGTTGGAGTATGGAGGGCTGAATCAGCCAATGGTTTCTTATATTGCCTGGGGAATCCTATCACACAAGAAATCATCTGTACAATTGCCATGCTGAGCTGCACAGAAACAGGTCCACTTTACTGTACACATACTATGTACCTAACACCCCTGCGTTGCCCCACCGTCCCAATTAACTCCCAGGACCCTGAGATTCCTGTGTACCCAACCTGGGCATAATTAGGTAATTAGGCCTGAAAGACTGAGGACGTTTTGTGGTAGAAAAAAAGTTAGTAACTCACCTGGCACTCCAGCTGTGCTGAAACTACAAATCCCACCATGCCTATGCATATGGAAGGCATGCCTGTGGCTGACAGACCCTTGCAATGCACCATGGGACTTGTAGTTCCACAACAGCTGGAGGGCCAAGGTTGCCTACCCCTGCTTTAGAGCATGCTTGGCTTTCTAATACTGTTATAGCATGTCATATATCAGTGTAGAATGTATATACGCCAGTTTGGTGTGTGTATATATCTAGATAGATATATATATCTCGATATATATATATATATATATATAGATATAGATATATATAAAACTCCGATCTATGATACGGTATATGTCAGTGCTATAGTGTGGGATATATACTGTAAGTGTGGCATACATAGGTGTGTTTATATATGAATATCTCCGATCCATGGTACGGTATATGTCATCGCTACAGGTATTGTTCACAGCACTGTATAGTACAGTCTTCAGCTACAGACAGCGATGGGGAAACCTCTGGCCACACGGTGGGCGTACCTGTGCACTTATGGGCGTGGTTTACGCCGCAGAATTTTAGGCGTTTATTTGGTGGGCGGGGACTCATGCAGTTGCTCCGCCTCGATAGGCGCGGTTTAGCTTGTGTTCAGGGCTCTCGGCAGTGGGCGGTGTTATTGCTCAGCTGCTCCCTCTGGTGGTCTTCGTTGGCCTCACTCGGCTCATTCAGGTGATAGCGGGGACGAGGATCGGTAGCCGGTGGTCATGGAGAGGGGAGGCGGCCGGTGCTGAGGACGGATCGGTGATCGAACGCACAAGCTGGGACGATGAGCTCCTCTCCAGCAGCGGTATCGGCCGCTGCGCCGTGCCGCTTGGCCCATTACTTCGTTATCTGTGGGACGGACGCGGACAGCGGGCTGGAGCCGGATGAGCTGGCCGGTGAGATGGGGTGACGGGCTGTGCACACACCGGGGGTTGTGCTGAGCTGTGCCAGGGGGACGGCACATTGTGTGCTGATGCCAGTATGCCTACAGAATAGTGATAATGGTGTGCCGGGCTGAGCTGGTATAGGTGACGGGGGAAGGAAGGGGCTATGTGTGATGTGCCGGGGGAAGGAAGGATGGGGTATGTGTGATGGGTGCCGGGGGAAGGAAGGATGGGGTATGTGTGATGGGTGCCGGGGGAAGGAAGGATGGGGTATGTGTGATGGGTGCCGGGGGAAGGAAGGATGGGGTATGTGTGATGGGTGCCGGGGGAAGGAATCAATATCACTTACTTGTTAAGGCTCGGACCACAAATGTGATGGGTTTCCAGTATGTGTTATAGGGTGCATGTGTGTTTTGTGTGAGGGTGTACCAGGGTAGGTATATGTGATAGGTCCCGGGGGGCATGCGTGATGGGTGTGATTGGAGGGGGTATTTATAATAGGTAGCAGTGTAGGTATGTGTGATGGGTACCAGGCTGAAATGTTTGATGGGATGTCATGGTAGGTATGTGTGATAGGTAATGGGGGGGGGGGGGGGGGGGTTGGGGGGGGGGGGGGGGGGGGCATGTGTGATGGTGAGGTATACTGTAGAAGTAATTACAGGTACATGGGAGGGGTTCAGTCCGGTCACACGGTGACATTCACTTTATTCAGCACTGATCTTGTACATTGTATCTTATGGAGGAGAGATTTCATGTATAAAGTATAGCAATGTATTCCTGTTTGTTTATGGAGCTCAGCGCTCTGATAATCCATCGCGGCTCTCCGTTGATTCAGCAGTACGGTGCCATCCGGTAATGGGACACGGCACTGAATGATTCCAGCGTGGACTTCTCGTGTTTGTGTCTAATGATAGGGATCTGTCCATGGATGAGGTCATGGCATGGCCGCATACAGAGCAGGAAATGCCATCATTTGGAGCGTATGGAGCACAGACAGGAAGGATGATTTCCTCCAACACCTGGCTTGTGTTGGCATCATTCTATTGTAGGAGAGACAGAAGAGGGGTGCGAGTAGAGTGATGTGCGGGGTACTATATAATATGAATGACTTACAGGTCAGGATGGAGTGGGACCTGTCATTTGTTGAAGTGATGGCTCCAGATCTGTCATCTTTATCCTTGCTATCTTCCCTTGTGAGTCGGTGATGGAGATGTTTGCAGCAAGTGAAGGTATAACAAGCAGGATGAGGATTGGTAGCCCTGGAACGTGTTTATTTAGAAACAAGTCAGCAGGATCTGGATTTTCATTGTGACAGGTGCTCTCGGTAGAACGTCTATCTGGTAGTGCTCAGTGATATGGAAACACAGATTCCAGTTTAAGTATTAGTAAACAGAACGCAATATAATCTTCAAGTTTATTTCATTTGAAATGCTATTTTTGTTAGCTTCTAATAAAATAATACCTGATGGTCCTTCCAAAAGGGACCCTGTTCTGGAACTTCCTTTTATGGGGTCACAATGCTCTGTCCCCACCTGCCAATTATTCTCCTGGTTGTCCCAATGGAGGCTCCAGGCGACCATGCCAATGCACATTGCATGGGGCAGGAGGGGTAAGCAAACTCTGGCCCTCCAGCTGCGGTGAAACTACAAATCCCAGCATGCTTTGCAAAACTCTGACAGACACAGGTATGACTACCAGAGGCAGAAACATGCTGGGATTTGTAGTTTCATCAAAGCTGGAAGGCCAGAGTTCCCCTACTCCGGCATAGGGCATGTTGTATTGTTGTCCCCATTCAGAAATGCCATTTGCTGGAGTGCATGTAGACAGGAAGTGGCTGCAAAGAGGCCTGCAGATCAGCAACACTGAGATTCATCAAAGGGTGAAAAAAAAGGTGAAAACCCGGATTTTATTTTAAAAACCTGCAGCAATTGTTTACGATACACGGCGCTTTAACATTCAGGGTTGTTCAATGACCTCTATTGTAAGTGTCACCTTTTCACGCTCATGCCACTATCTGACAATGACGCAGGCCATCCATTGAATGTCACAACAATGGCTGCGAGATGCCATTTTGAAATGTGAACCTGCATGCTTCTTAAAGGGACCCTGTCATCAACCTAAGAACATTGCAGCTGAGGCCCAGAAATATCGGGGATTTTAGACGCTTACTCGCAGCATGTTTTCATCTCCACAAACAATATTATGTGGACTTGCAATGTGCCTTTCAACTTGGTAGAACATTTGACTGGTCCAGGAAGAGTCAATTCTGCAGCACAGCCCCCCCCCCCCCCCTTCTTGTATGTCATAGTCCTCTCCTCTTTTGGGAGTGTCTGTGCTGGCCCAGCTCTTGTGCTTCCCATCACCTCACCACATATGTTTTATATAGCTGCCAGGGGAAGAGTAAAATAGGAATACTACAGAGCAAGGATGGGCAACTGCGGCAACTCAGCTGGGGTGAAATTACAGATCCCATCATGCTTTGCCTCTGTGGGGTCGTGGCTGTCGGAGTCTTGCAATGCAGCATGGGACTTGTAGTTCCACAGCGGCTGGAGGTTGGCTTCCCCTGCAATATATAGAGTGCCACTTGAGTCTGCTGGGGCTGCTGACATGACATCCAAGATGGTGGCACCCAGCAGCCGTCTCTGAGCTTTTGGATGTCTACACAAGGGAGGCTTTTACAGGGAAATAACATGGATATAATATGTGAAAAGCACAAATACTCTCCTGGAAAGATTGTTGTTGATGCGAATGGGCAGCAGTGAGCAAACTCCGGCCCTCCAGCTGTTGTGGAACTACAAATCCCATGAGGCATTGCAAGATTCTCACAGCCACTGGCATGACTCCCAGAGGCAGATGCATCATGGGATTTGTAGTTTCCCCACAGCTGAATGACTGGAGTTTGGCTTTAGAGGAATTGGGACTCAATTGCTGACTTACTCCCAAGAATACCAATTGCCTGGCCATCTCTGACTTCAACACACTGTGCTTTAACTACAAACCGCAACATGCCTCTGGGGGTCATGCCTGTAACTGTCAGTCTTTCAATGCCTCATGGGACTTGTAGTTCCACAACAGATGGTGGACCGGAACTTCCCACTTCTAGTGTATGGTCACCTTTACGTTTTCCTACAATCTCGATGCCGGATAATACTGCGCATGTGCCGCTGTTATCATTGAGAGGGTAGCGCTACGGTTCCTCGTGCTTTTATGAATTGTTCCAGCACACACATATGCAGTATAGCATATGTTTTCGGGGGAGATCCGCTCTTTTTAATGAATGGTCTGTAAAAGAGACCCTGTCACCTTGCTCAGTCAGGACTGCGACAGGGTCTCTTTAAAGCCAGGGAGGCATTGTTACAGTAGCAGGCCGTGCAGTGGGCCATTGACGTCCCTTGGCAACCCAATCATAAAAAATAGTCTGTTGGCGCACGACGCAGCGCGCATGGCCCCGGAGAAATGTAAATGGGCCCACATATGTTTATCTTTCAGTTGTCTGTCTATGTAGCCCGGGTAGAATAAACCTTTATTGATACACATTGATGTGAGTGTTATAACACAGATTTGTCTTCCGAAGTGGGAAGGTTTGATCTGGTCTTCCTGTCCTCTCCTCCATTACATCTCTGCTGCATTGTACATTCAGGACACATATAGACCGTCGCTGGAACGGATGTTGTGATTCCCGTATCCCATCCCCCCACGTCCTGCCTGTGTTGATCCTCGGTGGCAGAGCTGGGGATGATTAGGCTTAGCCTGGAGGATTGCTATCTGTCTGGAGCAGAATCAGGCCCGTACCAGGCATGTCATGCCGCTGGGAACGGCGATCTGAGCAACGCCACAGAAAATGAACAGTATCCGTTTTTAATGGAGGCTCGTGCGTTACAAATCCGCCCATCAAATGGAGCCATAATGTGGCGTGAGAGTCGCCAGAGTTCAGATTGGAACTTGTGGCAATGGTGGGCATTGGGCCAATGTTTCATTACGTCTAAGAGCTCTGGAAATGAAAAATGACCCTTGCCGTGGTTCTGCTCTGGCACAGCAAGGGTTAAGTGCTTATTTTGTCTAGGGGGAGGGGGGAATAAACCTGATATACTCACCTGATCCTCGGTCCTGTGGCGGTCAACACTCGCGTCTCTCTACCTCCGCTCCAGCTATGGAATGTCCTTTAGAGTCCTCATGTCTAATGCAAGTCCATGGACCTACATCGGATGTGATGTCAGCGCGCCTTAGACCACCAGAGCCCAGGGGAGGAGAGGCTGCAGGCACCGGTCTAGCAACCTGGCAGGACCGAGGATCAGGTGAGTATGTCTGCTTTATATTAGTCCCCTAGAAAAAAAAAAAGACCCACTGCAAGTTAAGTTTTTTTTGCATTGGGGCTTCTAAAGGGTTAACTGCATGTTTTGGTCTAGGGGCCTAAAAATGTACTCACCTGATCCTTAGTCCAACTGACAAGGGAGCCTAGAGCCAGCTTCCTGACCAATCGGGAAGACAGGCAGCATTTCATTACACTCCCCCTGGCCTGACCCTCCCTCGTCACCTGGTAATGAGGGAGCATGGAGACGGCTTCACCGCTAATCAGGAAGCCGAGTGGCGAGTTTTTACACGGGGACTTCCGGTATCGGCGAGTACCGAAAAAAAAATCTCGATACCGAAATACCGGTATTGGTGCATCCCTGGTTATAGCCCGTCAGCTTCTTTTTGCCTAAAGTAAATGTGTGGTCACTTTGGAACGGTGAAACCATAAAAGATGATTAGTTGCCGTCGGCTTCTGCGCTTTGCACAGTACTGTGTGCGTTTCTATGAAAAGAGCGCGCTGTGTGTTTTATGAATGTGTGTTTTTTCTTATCCCTCCAAATCCTCCCCTGTGTTTTTCCTCCCATATAATTATCCGCTTCTAATAAAAGCAGCGGATGACGGGGTGTGCTAATAGTAGCCGTTTCCTTTCATTTGAGGCTCGTTTTACTTGTCGCTGTATTAACATTGGCCGCTGTGTTAGCGGCCCCCGTCCCCAGCAT